ACACAAACAAATCTAATTTCTGAATATTACCGCAATTATGCAGCCTTAGGTTGAGCATAGATAGTACCAAAACAGAAAAATTACAATAAAACAAATAATGAATAAAAATAACTATAAAATAAAATAAAAAATTTGAAAATGTTTTCATTAATTGAAACGTATCCAAGAGACATCAATTTAAGTGCTTTCAAGTTAATTTTTTTTTTTTTTTAGATTTGTACAAGAGTTTAACCTCATTCATCCACTGATTAAAGTTGGGTTTAGATTTAAACCATCTGCACTTATGAATGAAAAACTTTCCAAAACATAAGAAATGAATAACAAAATCAAACTCTTTGTTTTCAAGACAAATAGCAAACACATATATGTGAAGTCATCAGCAGTGTGTGTGGGACTCGCCTCGGCTAAGATGGCCGTCTTCATGTCAGAATCGTTCACGTTCAGAGCAGATTTCACCTCCAGTCTCAGTATCTGCCTCTTCATCACAACCTCACCTGAACAACAGCACACAAGATCAACCTTCTCACCCGGGAACGTCCTGGTTGCATATGCAACCCACCATTCCCTGAAGGAGGGAACGGAGGACGTCGTCGACATTGACTGATGGGGATCAAACTAGGGAGCCAATCGTCTTCGAGTACTATTGAACGAGCCAATGGAATTGGCGTGCGTGACTCGCATCACACACTCCGCCCTCACGGCGCGGGTATAAAATACGGAAGTGGATGCATGCACTATTTGCTTTTTCGTTGAGGAGCCGAGCGTAACTTGGAGTCAGCGGTGGGACACTGCGGAAGCCACATCCTGCCAGAAGGGCGGTAACATGTGGAGAATACATATATGAACTGGGCAGATGACCGCACAGTACAACATGTGGAATGTCACTGGGGTGGCTCCAGCCTATGACAGGGGGAGACTCAACCAGACAGTGACGGCAGAGCCTGGAAGACACGGGCTCGCCGTACCGTGGAAGAATACGCATATGGGATCACCGTAGGGATCGCAACATATGGGCCCAGCCTAACACAGGTTCCACACTACTTACGAGTGGTAGGCCTAACATCGGGCGTTCTGCCACGTCCGATGTCGGAGGGGTGCAGAGGAACTCAACAGGGTTCGGTTAAAGGGAACTCAAATGGAGCAGAAATGGAGCACATATCCAGTCCATAGGAGGGGAATGGCGCAGCAAGCCGACACTTCGAACCAGGCTCACGGTGAAGCTGGCTTCATAAGAAGGGAGCCCACGGGAAGCAACGGTTAGACTAAAGGTGTCGCCCAGCCCCCAACTCTAGAATATCTGTCAGCGAAGCACTCTGTGTTAAAGCCTAGGCGGGAGCACTCACTCACTTAAGAGGAGCTCACCATCTAAGTGGACATGTGCATCTTGGGATTTTCACCAAGATAAAGACAACCCTCTCGGCTGATTTCCTTAACAGATAAGAGCTGGTCTGAGGTCCTAAGGCTTGCGTTCTGTGCACGTATAACCGCAATGAAGCGGACGGACAGAGAAGCCAGGGCTGGGTCTGCCTCCTCCGGGGCAGCGCTTGCAGGCTCACCACCTGGTCCCTTTAAGGGTGAGGTAGGAACCTTGGCCGGGGTTTTAGAGAATTTTAAACAGTTTGAAACAGAATTTTTAACTCACTGTGCAGTAGCACCAGAGATAAGGCCCAAGAGGATAAAGAGGAGCACAAGGCAGATTACCTTGCTCCCTCAGGAACCTGACGATCAGGACATGCTTCCCATGCTTCTGCATCATGATGTGCATCAAGAAAAAACAGAGGCAACATCATTTTGAGGGTGGAGGAAAACAGCTTACTCCAACCCATCTTGCAGGAAAGAGAGCACTGAAATGACCGAACACCTTCAGGATCTCCTCACGGAGAGAAGACTCACTCAACGAATAGGTTCCACTTCTATTTGGCGTAAGCACAACTTCCTCTTTTTAAGGGGTGCTCGCAGAAGTGATGGTAACTACCACATAGTCCTGCAGTAGCCACCTGAACCTCCGCGTCCACTTTTTAGGACCGGCCTGGAATCTCTCCAGGAGTCTGAACGCGGGTGCCATCATGCCCCGTCCCTGAAATATATTCAGGGGAAGTCAGGAAGGCTGTCGAGGGGAACTAGGTCTTGTTGGGCCACAAATGGGCAACTATCAAGACCTGCTCCACTCCCTACCTAGCACAGTAGGTGCAAGCGACATGCGCGCACAAGGCAGGAGCACTTCTCAACACTAGATGTGAAGAAGATCACTGACCTTCAGGAGCATCTCTGCTCAACACCTGAGTGTGACGAAATTCACTGAGTTGAATCGCATAGCCGCTTTTTTAGTAGGCTCACTGGGGAACGCATTTCAGCTGTGAGCCAGTGTCTGTCCAAGGGTTGTCCGCTTGGACAGAAATAATGCAACTGGCAGAGGACCGAATCCAGAGAGGCAACAGATGTAACTGTGCGGCCCCGAAGTGGTCCCTGCCCAGCCTCGGGACTCGACCTTAAGCCAGTGCTAAAGCGGTCTTCATATGGAGGAAGCCATGCAGCTGCAACTGCCATATGTCCCAGGAGCCTCTGAAAATACTTTCAGTGGGACCCTTTCTCACTTCTATATAGCACTGACCAGACACACACTCTTCTTGAAGAGGCATGTTGGGCCGAATCCATTTCCATACCGGAAAAGAGATACTCAGCCCGTGGGCGAGATTACTCTCTCCCAGTTGACCTGAAGACCCAACTGGCTATGAAGCACTCGAAGTGTAGGACTCTGTACTGATACTTCGAACCCTCAAACGCAACATACAGGATAGCCTGTGGTGCGGAGGCTAGAGATCTGAAGTACATGTCATTCAGGTCGAACGCTGCAGACCAAACTTGGGGGCGGGCCAAGATGGTCATGACCCACCACATGAAGGAAAGAGTTTATAAAAACTGGCCTTCACATCGGCTGTAGAGCTGCTATATCGCATCCTTCACCAGTAGGACAGCGACATGCGCGCACAAGACAGGAGCACTGCTCAACACTAGGTGTGATGAATATCACTGAGCTTTCGGGAGCATATCTGCTCAGCACCTAGTGTGACGATTATCACTCAACTTGAGCGGACACCGAGCGATAATGAATCGCATAGCCGAGTCTGATGGTCACAGTCTGGTCCAGACAGGTTGGGAAGCTCTTTCCGCTTCTACAAACCAGGCCTAGGCCCAGAAGACCACAGACGTACCGGAGGTGGGGCAGCAAGGTGGAGGACAGGGACCCAGCTCAGAAGGCCCAGAGGCGGCCCGAAGCGGGGTCTGAGTGTGCAGTGCAACACTTATCTGTCTCCACGGGCAACAGGAGATGCATGAGAAGGCAGATGACCGGGTCCTCGAACGCACCATGCTGCCGGCTGGTGAACAAGAGGGGGCTAAGGGGTACAAGGCTGTCCTACAGGGTTGCGCACCACCAGCCTCGCCCTCTTGGGACCTATGGACGGAGGAATCTGCTCTCTTGACAATTCGGGTTCCACTGGAATCCGGGGAGCCGGTGGCGGAACAGTAACCATCTGAAGAGCTTGTCCCCCCATCCATGGGTGGCCTGTATCGGAGACGCTACGTCTGACACTTGCCCCTTGGGCGGCCTGCCTGCTGCTGGCTCAATGCTGGGGTCCAGGTGGAGGCGCTGCAGGGGCCTCACGGAACTGGAGGCAGCGGCAGGGAACGCTCTCGGAGACGAGCAGGCGGAGGAACTGCCACCGGTGGCGGGGTGGAGGCAACAGCGGGCCGCCAGGGCAGGAAGTGTTGGGTGGCCTCCGTCTGCGCCTGGGCGGCGGAGAGCTGTTGGGTGCAGCTCTCCACCGCGCCGCCGAACAACCCAACCTGGGAAATTGGCGAGACCAGGAACTGAACCTTGTCTGCATCCGCCATCTCAACCAGGCTGAGCCAACGATGGCACTCCTGGACCACTAGGGTGTACATCGCTAGACCGACCGCGCACGCTGCGACGGTCATGCCTGTGAGGGCTAGGTCAGCAGCAGTACGGAGCTTACTCATGAGCACTCGGTCTAGACTACCCTCGTGCATATCCATGACAGACCTGCAACAATGCCATGGCATGCAAATAGGAGGCGGCTTGCCCGCAAGCTTTGTAAGCTCTGACCGCCAAACCTGAAGCTAGCTCACAGGCCTGCGAGGGGACACAAGGATGCCCCAGATGCAGCGGCCGTCGGACACAGGTGCACCTGTGTTGCAACAGACCGCTCCGCTGGAGGGATAACCTCATAACCCTTCACCGCTCCTCTCTCAAGGGTTGCGAGGGGGAAGAACCACTCAGGCAGTTTTCAGTAGTAAAAGGTGCCGTCCACGACCCAGTAAGGTCTCCATGCACTTCGGGAAAGAAGGGCACTGGGTTGGCGGGCTGAGAACTTGCACGGCCCGCCCCTAGATACCAATCATCCAACCGAGACTGAACAAGACACGGTAGAAGATTCCACTCGAGCCTGACAGCCTCTGCGGCACAATACATGAGGGAAATATTTCGCAAAACTGCAATGGAAGCAGTTTTTGTGCATTTACAGTCACCTGACGTAGATGTGCGGTGTGTTTGGACAGAATACGAGACGGAGTTCTTTATTAAATTCATAAAAGACAAAATAATTACAGGAATACTGGATTCTAAACCTCAAAGAAATGCCACAATTACGAGCTGGAAACCGATCTGAGGGAGAAACACCCAGAAACTCCTCGTATGAGCCACTCACAGTTTAAGGGTCTTTTCTTACCATTAATGCTGGATAACACACATACGTCTCCTTCGCTTAATAATAATGGCTAGTGCGGTGGAAGGGATATACGTAAACCTACCAACTTCCGTCGCCATGATTTTTGGAATGACTTATCGCAAGAGGAAAAAATTATGTTTTAGTCGCATAACATCTGTTAATGGAAATGCCGTCATTTCACAATATTCAGAAATAACATTCAGAAATAACATGTCAGCAAAACGCTCTTAGAAGATATTTTTGTACATACACACACACACACACACTGAATAAAACCTACCAATTAAAACGAGGAGTGTAAATAGTTTGTGCTCCATTATCTGAAACGACAAGATTACAATATTCTCAATATCAGCATAAATGCATTAACCCCTACTGATTATTGTCCAATATGTTTTTTTAAACACAAACCTGTGTGATGTTCTCCTCCTCTTTTCTCCTCTCATGGTTTTATGAGTCTTCCTCAGCTTTAATATTCTCTTTAACATGCAAAACTTCAGCAGTGCTCGTGACACCTGTAGCGATAATCAGATGGGTAGTTGGGCCAGCTCTGGTATGTTGGAGTAAATTAACTAGATTCTAATTTAGTAATTTCCCCTCCATTCTTGCATTCGTGAAACAAAGGAATAGTGTTTTGAATTGATTAAATCATTGACTCTGATTCGCACATGCAGCGTTTTTCCTCTAATGAATAAACAAAGAAAGGCTTTGCTTACGACATGTGACCAAAAGGACATGTGACTCGAGATGACATCTCACGAGTCTGGCCGAAGATCACGCAGAGAACAGCCCCTTAGGGGTCTCCCCTGATTTGATCACCTCACAAACAGAACATTGTGTAGTGAGGAGCTCCGGCTCACCCCTTTTCACAAAGCAGACTCTGAAGAACAATCACATACACACACACCACGGATGGACAATGCACACCACACATACCCGCACACAAACATCCTTTGTGTGCAACTTAGGATAGGAATGTCCGAAAGTATATAACACAGAATTGTATCCGACCTTCCTGTATGCATGCATATCTAATTAGTTTTGTCTTATTCTATAGATGTAATTTTAACTGTTCTGTAACTTCGAACCTTAAGTTTATTTCTAAAGAAAGATTCCCCAACGGGATCACCTTCTGTAACTCTCCCTCTTGCTAGGTCATAAAACTTTATGACCCCAAAAGGGAATTATGACAAGGGAATCACAGCTCACACTTGAATTCTGATGAAGAAAGAGGAATAGACTCTGCAATCTTATATTGTCTATAAGTATAACCACTTAAGAAATGCATAAACATGAATTTGATACTTCCTAGGTCATGGTAGCCGGTATTATGGCTTTATAGTCGTGTGAGTGAACATTTAAATGTGTGAATGTAACTATGTTCCTTCTACTTTTCTCCTGCCATGCTTTGTAACTGTTTGACCGTCTTGTTTTGACTAAACAAGTCATACATAGGATATTACAGTGAAATGTAGTGTTCTGTGTATAACATATTTCTGGTTAGAAATGACAAAATTTCATACCATCGTAAAATTATCCTGACAAGACAAAGAGTAATAAAAACTAAATTCCTGCCTGTGACTTCCAACTCTCCGATTGGCCAAGCCGACAGGAAGAGGCTGGATTGCTCCAAGGTGATAAATGTCAGCACTCGCTCTTCCTCGCTATCTCTCTCTCTGCCTTGAAACTCTTCTCCTTGACGCGCGCTTCCTGGTCCCTGGCTCTTCCTGCTCTCTTTGATACTTCATCATGTGACTCCTCGTGCGTCTGGACATCGCCTTCCTGTGATGATCCATCGTTTCTCTTTTTGTTTTCTTCAAGTTTATTTGATCTTTCTCGAAGTCTCCTCTGTTCATTTCTTCTCGCGAGGAAAATGAACACAGCCAGACCTCAGCTGGCAAGCTTCACCTCCAAGGACATTCAAACACGCTGGACGAACCCGAACGCTCGGCATCCACATGACCGAGAGAGACACACGCCTGCTTCACATCAGCCACCCAAAAGAGCTTTACCGGTGCAAGTACCCGTTTTACCATGCTTTCAAGGTTTACTATCTGTTGATTCTTGTTGTCTCAAAGGTTCTGTGTCTGTGATGAATTTTGCCAAACTCATGATCTTTCCAGGTCTCTCTCTCTCTCTCTCTCTCTCTCTCTCTCTCTCTCTCTCTCTCTCTCTCTCTCTCTCTCTCTCTCGTTGTTATTTGTTTGTTTCGTTAGTTTTATTGTTAATGTACATATATGTATCCCGGGTTTAAATGTAGAATTCTGTATCCGTAGTTTCAATTATTAAAACCATATTCTTGATTGCTTTCTGTCTAAAAGCTTATATTACAAGTCAATGAAATGATGGTCTTTAGCTACAAGCTTTACAAGTTGTTACTATTTCAGTAACCTAAATTTTATAAACACAAGAAAATTAATGTTCACGGCCAGAAAGTTGATATTTCTTGGAGTTTATAAAAAGGGATAACTTTGTTGAGAAGTTGGAAGTGTTTGGAATAACACCGTTTAAAAGAACGGCGTTAGGTAACGACGTTATTTTTTCAGTAACGGGGTAATCTAACTAATTACTTTTTCCGTCGTTACAACGCCGTTAACGTTACTGGACGTTAAATGCGGTGCGTTACTATGCGTTGATTCATGGGCGTCAGTTTGGTTTGAAATGTGTGGGGGACAGAGACGCATTCAGAAGTGCACTTTCAGAAGTGCTGGGTACAGCGACGCAATGTACGTAAATATACGGTTAGTAAAAAATAACTAGCAGAGCATTAATTTAGTTCGCTATTAAATAAGAGATCTAGCGCTTAAATCTGTTGTTTTTGAGATCCAGCTGAGCGCTCGTGCTGCTGCGATCAGTGTCATGGATACAGTTGTTCTCTTGTGGCTCGCGGCGCGCGCAGTCTTCACTCGGACGCGCGCTTCAATCTATCGCCGTTGCGGAGACTATATATATATATATATATATATATATATATATACAGCTACTGTATATCTAGGAGCTAAAGTTCAATCTTTAAAAGCACTCCATCTTGTTAAACTGTTTACTTTTTTAATGAAGATAAAGAAATACAGCAGCCTATGTCTTCCAGACTATTTATCTCAGGTTCTTAGAGTTTGTTTGATTTATTTAATTTGCTACAGTTACTGCAAACACACTTTATATTATTTAACTGTTTACTTTTGAAGAAAATACTTGAAGTACAGAATGTCTACCAGACCAGTTGTCTGACATTGGGAGTTTGATTTATTTAATTAAGAATTTGTAGTTTAAAAGTTTACTTTTGTTGTGAACAAAAAAACTTGGAAGTACAGGTTGTTAACCTGACCAGTTGTCTCAGGTTGAGAGAATTTGATTTAATTCGCTAGAGTTAAATGCACTTTATATGGTGTAACTGTTTACTTTTCTTACAAAGATAATACTTGAGGTGCAGGATAAACCTCTTGCTGTCGACGTGCAATAAATATCGAAAGTTACGTACAAACACCTAGGTGTCTGTTCTACTCATTTCAACTGACTTGTGAAAACTGCTAAAAAAAAATCCAAATTCTTTGACATATAGCAACTTTTTTTTTAACAGTAACGCAAATAGTTACTTTCCCTGGTAACGAGTTACTTTTACTCTATAGAGTAATTCAGTTACTAACTCAGTTACTTTTTGGAACAAGTAGTGAGTAACTATAACTAATTACTTTTTTAAAGTAACGTTCCCAACACTGGAAGTTGGTAAATTAATCTGACAGCTGTTTGCTGGACAAACCGATTGTTTGATAACTAATTTAATTCCCTTAAAGTTATCTCATATAATCGATCTGTAATAAGACCATTGATATATGAATGAGGAATTATAATTCGTTGTGGTTTATCATTCATATACAATCGATCTATTTTCAATTTCGATAATTTAATTGTAACATGCAAGATATTAATCATATTCATGATTAATTATTAAAATTCCCTAAAAATTATTTGAGCTAATTAAGGCAAAACTCGATGTTGCTACACACCTTTACTGTCATGATGTTTAAAACCAGCTTGAGAAACTAACTTGGACCGCTTCAAAACACAATTCAGTAGGTCTTAAATTGAACACGTGGCAAACCAGCAACTTACAATCTAACCCCAATGTAACAAATCTTCAATAAAGTTGTTGCATATAGCCTACTACAGGTGTTGCTGAGTCTCGATCTTTGAACTTCTTTTCCCTTTTCCACAATTTAAAAAGAGGGAGAAGGTGGACCAGTAATTTCTTTGCTTCCTTCTAAAGTGATTTAAACATATTCTTCTTTTTTCTGCACCCGATGGATAGACTCGTTTAATTTTTCAGGGAAGACAACGATCTGACACGGTTGGTTGACTTAACGCAGTGGTTCTCAAACTTTTTCGGTCATTCCCCACTTTGGACAAGGGGGAATTTTCAAGCCCCACTGCCCCCATCGCCCCAACACAATGCTAATGAAATACACAACAAGCTTAAAATGTTCCAATTTATTGAAGTAGCAAGTAGGATCTAAATACAAACTAACTATCTACATCAAATAACATAACAGCAAGTTAAAAAATAAAGAAAATAAAAGTGCAGCTGTGTCATAACTTGCATGGAATTCAAAAATAGAGAAAATAAAAGTGCAGCTGTGTCAAAATGTGTATCAAAAATAGAAAAGAAATAAAAGTGCCACTTTACAATCTGTTAAAAAAAATAAAAGAAGAGAAATCCATTTGGCAAGACAGGTCTATTTAAAAAATTTAAAATAGACATAACATAGGCTACTATGTTTGATATGGGATTAAAATGATGGGCAGTGTATGAGATATAAACTAATGATTAATTATTTTAAAATTCCTTTGTTCCGATCAGAGCATGTGAGCGGAGAGCGCATTTCTGAATATTCCTCGGCTCGCTCATTCCGCTCAGGGTCGCGCGCTCAACCCTGCTGGTTCGAGAATATGTGGAATAAGGGCTGCCTCCGACTAAAGGTTTTTTTTTTCTTGTCGACTAGTAGTTGTTTATTTAAGCCATTAGTGGACAAATCACCCCTTTATATTGATTTAATAACTTAAGTAGGCTATACACGAGTGGTATAAAGCCGCAGTCAAGCGCGCGAACCGGCAAAAATAGGCTAATGATTATGAATGTGTAAAAAATAGCAAGGAGACATTTAATTGTTTATTAATAAACTGGTGTTTTCTGCGTCTTTGCAAAGATGAAGTTGATGAAGTTGACTCGCCATGAACGAATAAAGATATAAAAGGTATAAAAAGGAAAAATGTCCTCCCGTTGGCGCGCCGCACCTGTCACGTCTCTATTCTCCACCAGTGGGGCGCGCCCCACACTTTGAGCGGCGATGCCGGCGACTACCATCTATAGATAGGGGGCCCCCTAGTGGCGGCGGGGCCCTAAGCAGCCGCTAAGTTCGCTTATAGGGAGAGCCGGCTCTGGACTCTCCTCTCTGTTTGTGGATGTGACACTTATTTGTATCTGCAAAATCCGTTATTAATCGACATGTAGTTTTCAAAGCGCTGAACAACGTGGGAAAGGAGGAAAAGTTTGACACACACTGACTTTTTTTGCTGAAATCTCACCCTCTTGAGCCAGAATTATGTCGTAGAAAACTGACTTAACCTTTGAATTTTCCATCTCTGCCTCTTTAAAAGCTGTTAAAGAGCATGTCATAATGTTTAGAAATATTAGGAACATTGATCCCCAGTTGCTCTTTAGCGCTACTGCTAAGCTTCCTGTGACTGATTCTGTGGACACTTACAACTCTGCGCTATTGTCTATTCTTGATATTGTAGCACCATTGAAGGAACGAGTTGTTTCTTTCGCTAGATCATCCCGTTGGTATACTAATGAATTGCGTGCACTTAAAACCAAAGGAAGAAAGATTGAGCGCTTGTACAGAAAAACTGGCCTTACTGTCCATAAACTGATGTGTGAAGAACAGCAAATGAATTATCATCTGGCCCTTAAATCCACCAGAGAGGAATATTACTCGCATATGATTAATGAAGGTGCAGGTAATCCAAGATTGATGTTTAAAACAATTAACAAACTTTTTAAACCTCATAACCAAAACATTTGTTCCCTTGTTGGGATGTGTAATAAATTTCATTAATACTTTACAGAGAAAGTTCAAGATATCTATAGCTCCATGTTTACTCGTCCCGCTCGGCTGTTTAACCCTCTGGGGACCAGGGGTGTATTCCAGAAAGCAAGGTTAACTTACCGTCAGATAAACCTTGAACTCTTGGTTGGTTAACCCCAAACTTGCTTACTCTGGGTATGTCGGTTCCAAAACACCTATGTTGAGTTAGTTTAATCAACCTCCTATTGGTAACCCAGAGTTAATGCGCGCGCACGACGAGTACATAAAGACATTTTCAATGGATCGCTGATTTCAGGAATCACCATGGAAACCAAGGGAGAAAAAAAGCGAGCTACATACGATACTTCGGTGAAACTGAGTTGGAGGTTTTAATGCTTGCTTATGAAGACTATAGCCTAAGCCCAGGGCCGGCTCTAGCCCTTTGGTTGCCCTAGGCGAGATTGATTTTTGCGCCCCCCAAAAATGCTCTTACAGTCACTCCAAAACTTCAACAAGCAAATTATGACTTGAACTGTAATAAACTGTTTATACAAATGCTAAAAAAGAAAGTTCAAGGATATTTCAATCATCCTACATAGTTGCATTGTTTAAATACATATTTTCTGACCATGTAACTTGTAGTAGATAAATTACAATTACTACCACCACTACTATTATTACTAATCCATTAGGCTGCTACAAGGCTAGGGGGGTACGGGGGCATGATCCCCCGTAAGAAAATTTTGTGCATTTTAATGTTAAATTCATCAATCTGGTGCACTTTGAGAGTTCAAAATTAAAAGCTCCAACCCATATTCAGTGTTCAAATTAAACAAAGAAAAATTCAAACCTCTTTTAGTTAGTGTCTGTCTACATTACATAATAATAGTTATAATATTAATCCCATGATAATGGCTTTCATAAGTTTTGTACTAATTTCTATACTAATAGAAAGAGTATTTTTCTGTACTTCACATTAAAGATGTGATTGGGCCAGCCCAGTGTCAATCAAGAAAACAACCAATGGGCCGCTGATCTACGCGTTTCATGCGGTGTCAGAAAAAAAGCTTCTTTTTTTTACCAATGCATTACACCAGCACTAACCCAGCGCCGCCGATTAAGCAAAACAAAACGAATGGGCTATTTCTATTTTAGCCCCCGGCCGCTTTTTTTGCTTTATCTATCTTTTTCGACGACATCTCACTACTTGTGCCTGTTCGCTCAGCGCTCACTGCGCCCGCGCCCGCTCGCGATATTATTGGAGAGGGGTCCCCTGTCAAAATTCTATGATGAAATCTTATGAGTGCGCCTACTCCGCTACACATACCGGTATACCCACTTTTTGCGCCACTGGCAGGTTTATGTAATTAATTGCTCCACTCGTTGCAGTGTTAATGAAGTACAATAAAAGCGGAAAGTTCCTTACGCGGCTCTGGCGCCCCCCCTAGGGTTTAAGGCGCTTGCGCCCTTAGCATTTGCCTGTACTGCCTATGCCACGGGCCGGCCCTGCCTAAGCCCATTATATAAAAAAATAATAAATAAAAAAGCAATACTGCTGCATCAGCAAAAGAAAGTTGGCTTGGCAAATAATAATGGACAGAGTAAATGCTTGAGTTTAGAAAATTATAAATGGAAATTATAAATTATAAAATATAAATTATACATTTATAATTTGTGACGCAAAAATTCTTTGGGGGCATGAAGTAAAAATAGACAAGTGTTTACTTGTTGGCCTCCATACATTTCTTAATATTACAGTAGTAATGCACATAATTGGCTAGTTATATGTTGGCTTCTCGTTTTATCAGGTGTAATCCTTCTGGAGCCAGAAGAAGTGTGAGCCAAGTCAAAATAAAACACAAAAACATTCTCCAGCAAGGTAATATTTTCTAAACTTACTAAACTTGTTACTGACATTTAATACTAATTTAGTATTAAATGTAATTTAGTTTTCTATGTAGCCAATAGAAAGAAGGGAGCTGAGGAGCTGGCACTGTCCCTTAATAAAGGGCCACCTGTGGTCGATGGGATTCCAGGGGGCAGTTCGTCAGACTCCGCTACCAAGACAAGTGGCTTAGTAAAATGTAGGTGTACCATATTAATACTTATGATTTATTGATGTTTACACTGTTTTTGTCAGTGTTTTAATAAATAAAATAATCAGCACTGTCACCATTTTAAAAAGGCATTTTGAATTCATTTTACAGTCATTGATTCACTTGTGCAGTGTGCATGCTGCTTTGACTGCATATGCTGTATACTGTAATCTTATTACTACTTAGATGCTCCTAATGTCCTTCTTTATTAGTTGTATTTGCTTAAGAATATACATTGAGAATTGAATATGCATGATTATCATGGTTTAATTATCTTGCAGTTGCTGATGGCCACATTGTATTATTGGATCCTCCTGCAACACCACACTCTGTCACAGTTGTAAGTGATTATTGTCTTTAGGTTTCTGTTTGCTAGACCAAGCATCCTTCCTTATTTTCACTGTAGGATGATGATGAAGAGACCACTTCTGCTGTGACAGAAACAGAAAATGTGGGGAGGCCCATAGAGGTATGATGCATAGAATGCATTCCCCCTTTTTTACACAAGAGAATAAATAAATTGTCATTGTCATTTTACAGAATATGGCAGGAGATTTTAATACAGCTGAGGGTCCATCTACCTCCACACAGAATCTTAGCAGTGTAAGAAATGTTCTGCAGTTCTCCTTCCTCATTTAAATATTTGGTCTGTGTTTGTATTACAGACTTTTTCAGTCTTTCTAGTTGCCTGCCAAAAAGCTGTATAAGGTCCACCTTTAAAAGCAAATCAGAAAAAGTGACATAGAGATGGACCTTATACAGCTTCAAATGGAGGAGAAAAGGCTTAACCTAAAAAAGGCCAGACTTGAAATTGAATTGCTGGAGCACCAGCTTAAGGTGGGAAACAGTATGTAAACATTAATCTGTCATTTGTTGT